ATCCCATCTTGAACTACTGCTGTCTTGTATATTATTGAAAAACTGTTAATATATATATTTTGATTTGTTTTTATCTTGTATGTTGTGAGCATGGAACACACTTCTTTTTTCAAGATGGCTTGTGGCCATCTTCTAGTTTTCATTCCATGAGGTACCTGTCTCACTCTCTAATGGTAGAGTTGGCCTGAGGTTGCACACAATCAGGATCCACCAGCTACTGTGATGGCTCCAGGATGTATCTAGGATTTTCCCTAGGATTACCAGTATGAACATACAAACAAACAAACAAACAAATAATGGAGTACAGCTGGACCCATCATGCCATTTGGAGCACACTGTAGGGATCTGTGAGCCTTTTGTTGTTGCTGCTGCTGTTGCACACTGTATGACATCAAGCAGCTCCCCACATGCACAGTAGAGTAACCTAACTCCCTGCCAAGACTGAAATAAGATCAGGGTAATTTCAACAGTGTTGCACTACAGTCTACAGTTAACATGCCTGATTCTGGCTTGTACAGAGATCATTGATTCATCCCTCCTGTCCAACATTATTTTCACAAGATTTCAGACACCATCTCACTGAGCTGCCATAGATCCTTTGAGGGGATGTCAAACCCAGGGCCTTTTGCATTCAAAGAATGTGGTTGACTACTGACCTGACTCAACCCTGCTGGTAGCTGGATATTTTTACGTGTTCTACAGCTTTGTTTTGGCTCGAAGGACTTGCTGCTATAGAAATCTTTTCTGGTGTAAACTTTAAATATCCAAAAAAATTCAGATTGTTTTCTTTTCAAAGTAATTCTCTAACACTCAGAAGATTACATATGTAAATATGTAAGCACAAAATGGGACTTTTCTGTTTGAGAGATTCTGGGGCCGAATGTTAAGACTCTCCCCATCTCTTTTTGCAATACCCTTTGTGGTGTAGTGGACACAGTGATTTTAGGAGGCTTGGGTTCACACCCCTGCTCTGCACTATTTTGTCAAGCCATACAAACTCACAGTAGGTGGGTGGAACTCATAAAACCATAACTTGTTTTTTATAACTTTTCTCTCTCACTTTGAAAGCCCTGTTAGAGTTGCTGTAAGTCACTTTTGAACTGACAGCATGTATGACACATCTCTTCTCTTTTTAGGTGAAGCATACTTTTTGTCCCCTTTCATGGATTGCTGCCTTGTCCTAGCGAAGGGGCTTGAATAATTGGGCTATGCCGTGCAGGGACACCCAAGATGGACAGGTCATAGTGGAGAGTTCTGACTAATCGCAATCCACCTGGAGCAGGAACTGGCAAGACACTCCAGTATCTTTGCCAAGAAAACCCCATGAACAGAAACAAAAGGCTAAAAGATATGATGCTGGAAGACGGGCCTCTCAGGTCAGAAGGCGTCCAACATGCTACTGAGGAAGAGTGGAGGACAAGGAGAAGAAGCTCCAGAGCTAATGCAGTGGTTGGGCCAAAGCTGAAAGGACGCTCAGCTGCGGATGCGCCTAGAAGTGAAAGGAAAGTTTGATGCTGCAAAGAAAAATACCGCATAGGAACCTGGAATGTAAGATCTATGAACCTTAGGAAGCTGGATTTGATCAAACAGGAGATGGCAAGAATAAACATTGACATCCTGGACATCAGTGCACTAAAATGGACAGGAATGGGTGAATTCAATTCAGATGATTATCATATCTACTATTGTGGGCAAGAATCCCATAAAAGAAATTGAGTAGCCCTTACAGTAAACAAAAGAGTGGGAAAAGCTGCACTGAGATATAATCTCAAACATGATAAAATGATTTCAATATTAATCCAAGGCAGACCTTTCAACATCACAGTAATCTAAGTTTCTGCACCAAAGACCAATGCTGAAGAGGCTGAAATTGACCAGTTCTATGAAGACGTACAACACCTTCTAGAACTGACACCAAAGAAAGATGTTCTTCTCAATCTAGGGGACTGGAATGCTAGAGAGTCAAGAGATAAAAAACAACAAGCTGTAGTGTGGGTGGCATATTAAATAAATAAATAAACAAACAAACAAAAATTTGACCCAACTCTGGGAGGCAGTGGAAGACAGGAGGGCCTGACGTGCTCTGGTCTATGGAGTCACAAAGAGTCGGGTACAACTAAATGACTAAACAAGAAAACTTTTTGTCATTTTTGCTGTGATCCAGTCTCTGCATGCCTTTGGGGTAGTGGATTCCAAGTGAAATCACAGAAGCAGGGAAGGCAAACTGAGCAGGGTTTCAGATACTCTTTAGCTTGGAAGACCTTCCAAACTAAAGACCTAGCCTTTAGTTTGGAAGACCTGAGCAGTCCTGTTCATGATAGGACTGATTGCAGGTCGTTAATTCGTAGAGTTGCTGTAGATTGAAAGTGACTTGATGATACACCAACATATCAACAACAGCTGCAAGGGCAGAGTGGCCGTGCTCTCGCAGCTCAAGATGAACAATATGTAGCTTGTTTACCCTGATGCAACTGCAAAGATGGCTGCTCCTGAAACCTCCCATTCAAAGAGTAGATTACCTCTAAGGAGGAAAGTCTATCAGCTGCCAGCTTGTCTTGCCTTGAAAGGCAAGGAACAGCTCATTCCCTTGACAACCTTTTTCAGCAAACAAGACTATTATTAGGCAGTCATTTATACATAAAGCACTTTCAGTACATTCTGTTAATCATCCTTCCAACAGACTTCAAGCTTCTTGAACAATTGTACCAAGCTTATAATTGGCATGCATTTTCCCATCCTTCTGATGAATATTTATGGGTGAAACAGGACTCTAATCAACATTATTAACTACATATTTGGAACCAGAGGGAGTTGGCTATTTTGGACTGAGTTGCAGCCTGCATTGACAGACCAGTAAAGATACACATTTTCCACATATGGAAACCAGAAGCTACATCAGCTATACCAGGAGAGAAAACAAGACTGGGGAGCCTGTGGATCTCCAGATGTTACTGCACTCCAGTTCCCATTAGCTCTTGCCAACACTGGAGGTGTAGTTCAACAACTGTAGAGCCAGCATAGCACAGTGGATAGAGTGTTAGACTACAATTCAGAAAATCTGGGTTCAAATTCCCACCTGTCCATGGAAAGTCATTGGGGTTAAACCACTCCTTAAGTATCTCATGTATTTTAGAAACTCTTCTGGGTACTGTAATTGCCTTGATGGCACACAGTTCAAACAACTTTCTCCACACAAAGCTGTAAGATTGATGAGGATACATGTTGTGAGTACAGACATTTCATTCAAGGCTGCAGAGGACGACTTACCCACCCTCAAAGTTGAGGCAGAAAATGTTAGAAAGGGATGATATTAAGAAAACCAGCTTTCTAACATTCTACTACCACGATTTAGCTTCCAAACCAGTAAATTCTGAACAGCTACAACAGAATGGGAGCCAAGAATAGCAAGAATAACTGGCCTTCCTTCAGACCTGCCATCATGGGGTGGGAGACAGAACTGGAAACAAGATCGCAAGGCAACAGGAAACTAATACTTAGGGTGTGATTAAGTTTGAGGGAAAGGAATGTATTTTTAAAGCATCTTACAGCTGAGAGTTGACAAGAGAAAAGTACAAGATAGGACTTACCGTAGAGCAGAGTGAGGTGGTACCTCTGGGAGCAGATTCTGGCTACAATGAAAGGGCAGGAAGCTCTTCTTCATTTGCTTCGTTTTTATCGTATTTTTAAAGCCAGAGTTGGGGAGAAGGGCTTGTGCAATTCTCAGCCTCTTATACCAAGGTGACTAGGTTGCTTTTAGACATAGGGCTCCGACTCTAGTGAAGAGGGGCCACCACTTATTGCTCCATCTCAAGCAATAACATGCCTTCAGCCAGCTCTGCAGGGAAGCAGGACTGTCAAAAGAACACCTATTTTCATCTTCTTGGCCCTAATCAAACGAAAGGGGTGAAATCTTCTGCTATTAAGTGATCAACTGAGATAAATGAGCGAAAGGAGGAGAAGAGCATGAGAGAGGTTTGGGGGTGGGAGGAATGGGTGTATGTAATAAACACAAGGGAAGATGAGATAGAAGGGAATGAGTAAGAAAAAGCTCAACTTACCTCCTGATCTTATAGCATTTTGGTGACCCCACTTCTTCCTTTGCTTGCTCCACCATTGCTCTGGAAGAAAGTCTGCCTTCCTAGTCTACTCAGCCCCTTCCCCTCCAGGTATGCCTCATCCCTTCTAAGAGGACTGAAGGGAGGGGAAAATTCCATGTTACAGTCGTGCCCCACTTTACGATTACCCCGCATTACGATGAATCCGCTTCATGACGACGCTTTTGCGATTGCAAAACGATGGTCTAAATGGGGGAATTTCACTTAGCGATGATCGGTTTCCTGCTTCGGGAACTGATTTTCGCTTTACAATGATCAAATACAGCTGATCATCGGGTTTTCAAAATGGCCGCTGGGTGCTTAAAATGGCTCCCCGCTGTGCTTACGGACGGATTCCTCGCTATACAGGCACCGAAAATGGCCGCCGTATGGAGGATCTTCACTGGACGGCGAGTTTTTAGCCCATTGGAACACATTGAACGTTTTTCAATGTGTTTCAATGCGTTTTTTATTTTCACATTACGTTTTCGCTTAACAGAGATTTTCCTGGAACGGATTATCGCCGTTAAGCGAGGCACCACTGTACTTAAAATAAGAGAACTGAAGTGAGCAAAGAGGCCTCAGTTCTCCCATTGTTTCTCAAATACTCGGATCACCAAATCCCCCTTTCTCCACCACCTAATAAAACCTCAGAAATTTCACCAATTAGAGAAGATATTCTCGATGTGGTGGCACCTACGCACATGTGAAGCTAAAGTAGCCTTTCGGCAACATTTTGTAGCCTCGGTCACCTAAAAGGTCAGGAAGCAAAGACTGGCTGAGGGGATTCGGTGGTGGATTTCCTCGCCCACCAAAATCTGAATATCAAATCAAACTTTGGAAAATATCCCTAACAGAAGAGAAGTAATCAGCACAGAAAAGAGAAGCAGCAAGAACTGTGTGGGATGTGTGCAGATACTTTTTTTTTATTTTCCTGAGATGAAGACTGACAAAAAAAAGTGAGTGGACAGATGTAAAGTGGGGCGAGGCGGGGGGGGCAAGGACGACATGCACACCACCCAGGCTTCCTCTGCCTCACACACGGCTACTGGCTGCCTCAGAGTTGTTTTGGACACGAAAGCAAAATAAGGAGGGGACTGAGATGACCGCATTCTGCGATGCAACCCTCAGGCGGCAATGGGAGTCAGGGGGGCGGAGGTCACTTCTCAAATGCCTCTCCTCAAATGCACCATCAGCCTGTAAAAAGCTTCCTCCATGTAGTCACTGTATCAAGGGGAAAGTTACATCCTAAGCCACTGTCATTGATGGTGCTGTTGCAAAAAAGGGTCTGAGGTGGTGAGCATTGGAAAAAGAAATTCTGCCTGAAGTGCTACAGCCCAGAATTGTATTGACTCAGTTCACTCCCTCCTTCAGTGTAATATGTTTGGAGCCAAGGGTCCCCCAGAGAGAGCCAGCAGGGAGCCATCCTTTGTGCCTGCCCAATCTCAGTTGCTTTCATTTTCTGGTGAATAATGACCAGCCTAGGAAAGCTTATGGGTAGGAACACATTTGAGATCACCCCACATGTATGAGGACTGGCTGGTGGGACAGCAAGAGGGGCCTTTTCTTTGGGCCCACTGACAGATATTCCCGGATAAGACTTCTCATTCCATCTTAATTCACACCACAAACTCTCTGCTTGGCCCCTAACAGCAGGACTGCAAAGCGTGACTGGCCCTTTGTCCCTTTCTACAGCCTTCACAGCACGCTTTGCCAAGCCTTCTAGCAGCCTGGAACGGCATACAAAATGGCTGCTCCATCTTTTTTTCTCCTGGGATTTTAAAGCCCTGCCCACCAGCAAGGTAAGGGGTGGGGGGTGGGGTCAAGGAGTTCCTGCCCACCAGCTGGCTCTCTGAGGCAGGAAGCCAGAAGGAACGGATTATTTTGGCATGCCCTATCTGCCTTTGATGAAGCCGTCGAGCACGCGATCGCTGCGTTCTGACAGCCAGTAGCCAGCCATCGCAGCTACGGCGCCAATGAAAATGGCAGTGAAGACCATGTCGCCCTTGGCAGCCAGTGTGGCCAGGGCGCAGATGATGGCACCAAAGAACATCTGCTGCAGCACGACCACCTCATCGTCTGTGATGTCATCAAAGAATCCTTTCTCGGGAGCATCTGTGGGAGAGGAACAGGCTATAAGCACAAGTAGGCAGCAGTGGTCAGCCCACAGTATCTCAGCCCATAGCATTTTGACGACATCAGCAGTAGCAGCATCAGCATCTGAGGACTACTGAGCTGGAACGGACCCTATGAATCATCAAATCCAGCCCCCTGTCAAGGAGGCACAGTGGGGAATCGAACTCCCAACCTCTGGCTCCACAGCCAAATCCTTAAACCACTGAGCTATCCAGCAACTCCTAAACTGCCCCAGTAGAGGCTGGTGACTGACTTGCAGGGGCAGTGAATACACTCCGGGTTTTAATCCAAACTTTACAGAAGCTATGCCACAAACAGATTCTGCACTTTGGGCAGCCGTGGAGTAACGCCCGATTCACTGCCCCTGCAAAATCAGAATCATTGGTCTTTCACTGGACTGCCCTCCTCTGGCCATCTGTACCAATTCTTAATAAACTGCAAAATTCAGTACATTTGGGTCTTTCTGATTAATACTTACATATTTTTCTTCTCAATAGTGAAAGAATTTGCTCACCATATTATTCAGAAGAAAAAAAGTATGTAGTAATCAGAAAGGTTCCACATGTACGATACAGAGATTCTTTCAGAGTCTGAAGAATATAATGGCTCCCAGCAAAACATAGCTTGGCCATTCTTGAGCAAAAAAAAACAAAAACAAAAACAAAAATACTTCCCAAAGCAAGTAGTTTTAGAAGAGGCAGAAAGCTCACATTAAAATAAAACAGTTAGTCTTTTAAGTGCAACATGTTTTTGTCTTGTTTTGTTTCTTTGGATTTTTCCAAAGCAAGAATAACTGGAAATTCACCCTCCGGAGCAAACATCCTGAATTTCACAGCAAAAGACTATTCTGCTCCCTGGAGCTGCTAAGATTTACATGGGGGCTTGGAGCTGCTAAGATTTACCTGGGGGTTTGTCTTCTTCACAGATACCCTCTTTGCGTACGTATCCCTCTGCACAAATACACCGATAGCTGCCGTCTGTGTTCTCACAGGCCTCATTGGCACCAGTGCATACTGGTTCCTCTGCTTCACCAGCACATTCGTTCACATCTGATTTGGGTGGGGGGGGAGGTGAGAAGAGAGAATCCGATACTAGGTGACTGAAAACCCTAAGCACCCCCAGAGCCATGAAGGAACTCTCTAGGCCCAACCTCCCCGCCTCATTTGTTAGGAGGATTCACCTAGAGAAAGCATTCACTGACCTTTTCCTGGGAAGGGGATTTTCACTTTCTCCAGGTCACCCAAAATTTAAGAGAAACAGAGAAATCCTCCACACTTCTTTGAATGTATGTTTCCCTCCCATTTGTTTTTATGTCTCAAATCCTAAACCAAACGCCACCAAAATGGCATCCATGAGTCAAAAACTGTAAAAATCCCGATCCTTACGAATCAGCCAGTTTCTCTCATGCCTAGCTGTGTTTTGTGCCTCTTGACGGTCCCTCCACAAATGCTGTTATCTCCAATATTATGACAACTGTTTCTGAAACTCCCTTAGCGGGCTGCCTGTCCTCCAAGAGGCAGCACTAAAACAGACCGTCTCTTCCCCTCACCCTGGCCTCGATGAGAAGCACGGCTTCAGTGTCCCATATGGGAAATCTAACCCCTCTGGCTCATCACACTCACCTCTGGAACAAGATCACCTCAGCTAAGATATCTTACTGCGAGTTTCCCAGATTTTAAAAAAAGAGTCACAGAGAGAAAAATGGCAGGAAAAGACTGTACGAAATCAAAGGGTACCAGCATCATAATGAAAGGAAAAGCTGAATGGTAGGGCTCACAGGAAAAGTACTGCCGTTTTAGACGGCTGTCCACTGCTCCCTTTATAGGCCACGTAGAGCACAGTTTGTTGGCTAATTGAAGCCCGCAAGGAAAGGACGGCCATTAGAAACCTGCTTGAGGAGAGGACTTACCAAGACACTTGACACCATCACGCCGATAGCCCTTGTTGCACTTCTTGCAGCGGGAAGGCCCAGCTCCCATGCAGCCAATGCAGGCCTTGGCACAGTCTGAGGGAAAAGGCAGAGTTTTAGCTCTAGGGAAAAATTACTGTCCTGATGTGGGCGAGGAAAGCTAAATGGCTACAGGGATCATATGGTGAGGCTGGCCCAAGGCATTTTACAGCCTGAGGTCAAAAACGAGGAGCGGTACTTAATGCCGTCCACTTTTCAGGCTTGGCGCTTTTACCTCGACACTCGTAGGAGCCTTCGGTGTTGATACAGAACTGGTTGGCACGGCAATGGGCCATGTCCGTGCCACATTCGTCTATGTCTGTTGGGAAAAGAGAGAGAGAAGTCAAGCTAGCCATCACAGAGAACGGCTTTCTCCCTACCACCATAAGCTTCTTTCGCCATGTTTGCAAAAGAAGCTTGTGTTTGCAGTTTCACCTTGCAAAATAACTTCACCCCCAACAGCCAACAAGTGACCTATCTGCAGAGTCAACAGCACCTAGAAAGAATGAGACCTACAAGCTCACCAATGCATCTTCGGTCATGCAGCATCCAGCCTCTCTTGCAACGGAGACAGCTTGAATCCTCAGGGCCTGAACAGCGTCCGCATGCCCGGTAGCACTCTGGATAGGGGAGAAAGCCTAGTGTGTAGCAGGAAAAAGAGAAGGCTGCGCATCGCCCAGCTCATGGAGGCTTGGAACATGGGGCTGGAGGAGAACTGGGTGAGTGGGGAAAGATGGTCTCTAAAACCTACATGTTACAGATCTATTAAAAATGAGAAAGGGCTGAGCAGCCTGCAAGAAGGATAGGCATAATTGATATTGCAAAACCTACTTGGATGTGGTGAGTCAGTGTGACACTGCAGTAACGCTGCTGGACTGGAATTTGGAAAAATCCAGGTTCAAGCCTCCATTAATTATAAAACTTACTCGATAAACTTGGGCAGTTTCTCTCTCTCGGTCTCTTTCTCACTCTCAGCCTGACCTACTTCACAAGGAAGTAGAAGTTAGGAGTGATCATCATATTCTGGAGGAAAAGATGGAACATAATGGTAACTACACCGTTAAGTGACGGCTTGATCTTCAATCTTTCAGTCTCTATTTCTGCCTATATTTTTTTAACCGTTAAAATGTGCTTTTAAAATGCTGTAAGTACCTCCCAGTATTTAAACTGTATTGCACCCTTTTAATAGGATCCTGAGGGTTTTCATGTAATTTCAACAAGAGTGAGCTGGAAACGTTTTAACAACTAAACAGATACACAGAAATGTACTGTAGTTGTGTAGGTATGTAAAGAAATTAAGATACTCCGTTCCTGCTCTATGACAGAACTGAGCTTCACTAGAGTAATCAAGCGTGTGGCACCTCTACAGACCTCATTCCCCAGTGTTAATGAGACAGGTTTCCTTCTGCTAATTAAGAACAACTTCAAAAGCCAAGCCATATTATGTGATGATAACAGAGCCCAGCACCAATTTCACTGGGAGAGGACCAAGAGCAAGGAGAGAACTGAAGCTCAGTAACAGGGCATGTGCTATGTGTACAGACGATCCTGGGTTCAACCTCCAGTATCTCTAATTAAAACTAGTAGGTAGAACTGAATGGGAAAGACCAGAGCCTGGAAAAATTATTATGGTGGTTTTTTTTTTTTTAAAAAGCATTGCAACTCCAAGGTGCCTAGGGGATTATGGGAGTTTCCATGCAGTGGGAAAGATCCAGCCCACCAAACTCATTGCACAGTGGCTTCCAGTTACTGCAGATTATACTGAGCTAGATAGGCAAATATTATGACCTGATATAAAGAACTTCCCGACCTTTATTTACTGACCTATTTTCTTCATTTATATCCTGCTTTCTCCCAAGAGGGACCACAGGAAGTGGAACATTCCTAAACATTCTTTAGTAATACATGTTAACAAGCAACAACTGCCCCTGGAGACAGTTATTTTAGTCTATTCTACTGCAATAAAAACAACACAAATCCTAGTGGCAATTTCAGGACTAATGGGTTTTCTCGAAGGCTTTCACAGTTGGGATCTGAAGGTTGTTGTGGATTTTTTGAGCTCTTTGGCCATGTTCTGAAGGTTGTTTTTCCTAACGTTTTGTCAGTTTCTGTGGCCATGGTCATCTTCAGAGGAAAGGAGTCGGAACTCTGTCAGAACCCGAGCACAGACGGAGTTCTGACTTCTGTCCCCTGAAGATGCCCATGGCCACAGAGACTGGCAAAACATTAGGAAGAACAACCTTCAGAACACGGCCAAAGAGTCTGAAAAACCCACAACAACCCACTAATGATTCTTATTTGACATAAGCTTTCCTGGTCACAAGCCCACATCATCACAAGCATCTGAGGAAAAGGATTTCAACTCACAAAAGCTATCTGTACAAATAACAGCAAGTTTCTGTTTGTCCATTTGGAGCTTTGTTAAATTTTGAGGGAGGTTTGAGAAAGTCTTATTTAAAAATCTAGCTATGTTGCATATACAAAAATCACTTTGGAGGGCTCTTAGGGGGCACTGTAATTATCTTGTCTTCAACTATATCTCAGGGGTCTAAATATCTGGCTGAGGAGCCAGAGGCTGGGAGTTCGATTCCCCACTGTGCCTTCTGCAAGGAGAGCCAGCCTGTATGGCCTTGGGCAAGCTGCAGAGTCCCAGGGGACCCCCCAGAAGAAGGGAATAGTAAGCCACTTCTGAGTATTTTCTACCTGGAAGTTCCTGAAAAGGGTCATCAGACATCAGAACGGACTGGACGGCACATGATTATTATTACTATCTTCACCAAGACTGAAGGTTTTCTTTGGAGCTGTCTAACTTAAAACATAGCCAATGTATGTACACAAAAATCACTTGTTCTTTGGAGCTGTCTAACTTAAAACATAGTATGTACACAAAAATCACTTTGAAGAGGTGAGTGGGTCACCTATATTACCTTCTTTTTTGCCTACAGAGTTGTGTGCCACATCATTTTGAATATTTTGATGAGTTGAGTTCAGAAATTTACAAGTTTGGAACCATCTTACGGATGGGACAAGGCCCCCCCCAAATGTTGATTAACTGGAAGCTATACTGGCCTGGAGAATCTGGGAATTGTGCTCCTTGATTAAGTTGAATGAGTATCAAGATGAAGAAAGAGAAGACAAGGAAAGACCAGTGGAAAAGGAAGATGGAGGTGCACAGAGAAAAGAGGGAGGAACACATGGGATTTTAACATGGACAAAGCTAGGTCCATTGGCTAGTGTCAAATGTAGCTTATTATAAGTTAAGACTAACACAACATGGATTGATTTCATAGAGAAAACCATGAACTTTGAAGAACTGAAAAAGCTTGACAAGGTTAATTTGTAGGGCTTCCACAAGTCAGACACAATTTGACAACATATAACAGGTGCCACAAGCAGTAAGCATCTTATATTATATTATTAATCTGTATCCCTATTGATGATTTCTATTCTGTTTTCTTATGGTCCAGCACTGCAGCTCTCTTTTATGAAATTAGATAACATAGCTTCTGTTCTCCTCAGAGTTCTCAAGGAAAATATTGTTTGTACACGCAAGGCAGGAATGGGTAGCTTCCAGAGAGTTGAGGATTACTGAAAAAGCTACCTTTCACCTTCTATTGGCACCTTAAAAAGAATTCTTTAAAACCAACAAATAAATATGGCAGGGCCTTGGAGTTCTGGAGGGACCCTTAAAGCACAGCAGAACTGACAAACACAGACACACCCAGGCCACCAGACACCACCCCACCAAATTAAACATTGGGACAAGGTGGGATACCACGGGGCAAAGTAGGGTTGAAGGCCACATTTTGATCTCAGGGGGCACTTGCAGACTGCACATTCCCTCGCCTGCTATACAAGCAGGTTTGTTGGGCTTGTGCAAAAAAAAAAAAATGACTAGTATTTTCACTGGGGGAGAAAAGTGGTGAATGCATAACCCGCTAAACAGCTAGAAACCTTTGTGAAGAAACCTTCAGAACATTTGACTTTCCTTTTTGGTGAAAGGGATTACTCTCAAATTTTATTCAGCAGTACATTATAGAGGGGTTTTTTTCCCCCAGGTGCAAACATGTCACTTTCTCACAGTCAGGGCTACGGTTAAAAAAATCCAAAATGCCAAAACAGCCTAAGGGAAAAGAAGAAAGCGGACGTCTCTGAGGGAAATTGCCAATGCCAACCAGCAAGGGGGACCTGGTGCCAGACCCCAAACGCCCCAGTCCAGGCCAGCCCATAAGGGCACTCTACATACCCGCACATACCAGGTGACTGTCGTTGCGGGCAGCTTCGTAGTAGCCGTCTCCACACTCTGAGCAGAAGGGGCCACCGTAGCCCATCTGGCACATACACAGGCCGGTGCCTCCCCGTGTGCCATCGCCGTCACACTGCCCATACCCACTGCAAGGCTTCTGGGCACCTCCAGGACAGGCTGTGGGGAGAAATAAAATCAATGTTGGGGCCAGGAGGAATTCGAGCTTCCTCTGGGGTGCTTGAGCCTTCTGACTCATCCAATAGCTGAGACTCGGCATTGTCCCTTCGGTTTCCGCACGCCTTTCCTTGGGGAGGACAACACTCTTACGGAGTATCGTAAGCTACAACCCAAAGTTCCAGCCTCATCGTACAACTTTAAGCTAAACCACCTCCCTTATTTCAAGAGATAGACAAGGAATTGCCTGTGTCTGAATCCCACCCTTTCTGGGATACTTGCTAGTCTTTATTAAAAGGAAGCCACTTCCCCCTCTTCAGCATCCTTCTGCAGTACTGCAACAGATTCTGTTGCAAGACTGCTTTAGCTGTGCAGGGCTTATCTTGAAAGCAGCCACTAAGAGCAAACTAGGGAGGAAGTGAACATCTCATTGAGTTGGTTCCCCTGTCAATAACTGAAGGATCTCACACACACACAAGGGCAGACAGAGTCTGACTTGAATGAATCCACAAGTGCTTGGCTATTACTGTGACAACACAGGAGGTGATGGAATGACTCACTGTGGCAGTCAGGGCCATAGGTGCCAGGTGGGCAGCATAGTCTCAGTGCATCCATGCAGAGCCACTGGAAGAAATCTGGGTGCTGCTGCTGCCTGGAGGAAAAGAAAGTTTCTATTATAGAACCGTCAGGAGGTTAAATGGGCTTCCTTTTAACTTCATACAGTGGTGCCTCACTTGACGACGTTAATTCGTTCCAGCGAAATCACTGTAGAGTGAAAACATCGTCAAGCGATCACAAAAACATTGTCGTGAAGCAGATTTGTTGTTATACGGGGTAATCGTTAAGCGGGGCAAGACTGTAGTTCTAGAATTCTATGGTTGTACTGCTACTTCATGTTCTATCATGTTCCAGGTTCCTTCACCACTGGTCCAAAATAAAAATAAAAAAAAAAATAAATGGAACAGCCAAGTGGAAACATTTTCCACTTTCCAGAATGGAAAGATTTCCCTAAAGTCGTGGTTTCCCTACCTCAGGTGCCCATATGTTCTTGAACTACGACTCCCAGAAACCCTAGCCAGCACAGATAGTGGTGAAGGTTTCTGGGAGCTTTAGCCCAAGAACATCTAGGAACCTAAGGTTGGCAACCACTGCCCTAGAGAGATGGGTGAAAAACCATCTAGTCTTTCATATTTCATTTGATTATGACCCACATCATTCCAACAACATCTGGAAAACCCCAGAAATAGCAAGAGAAGGAGGGATGGAGAACACGTAACCTCTGCATTATGTTGGTTATGTAACTCCCATGAATCCCCACTCCTGGCCATATTAGCTACGAGTGAACTGGTGGAGCTGGCACTCCAATTACCATCTGTGACTCCACCTGCTCATATTAGCTCCTTGCCTACAGCTATGGCACCTTGGACAAATGTCAAAAAAAACATGTTTCCCTCTCCATCAAGGCCCTTGGACCTTTCACTCCTTCCTCTGCTGCCTATTAAGCTCCCTCCTTTGCATTCTTACAGCTTCAGTTTCTCCATCTGCTCTATGCTTATCAGAGGACCCTGCTTTTTTTTAACAAAGGAGGAGCAGCAGTGATCACACAACCCTAGGGTGGGGTAAAGCACAGCAGAGTAGCAGCAAAGAGGACATGCTTTACATACAGAGGATTCCTATTTTAATCCCTGATATCTTCAATTAAAATGATGAACAAGCCGGTAAAGGGACAGACCCTTGCCAGAGAGCTAGAAGAGGCAGTGCTGGATGAGACCGACAGACAAGACGGTCTAATTCTGTGTGTTCTAAATTAGCAAGAATGGGAGAAAGACACGATATCCATCCACTGCCACTATACTGTGAGATGACACCACCCAGAAAAAAAAACCCTTCAGCACATGTTCCTTTTGATTATCTTTCTCAATTTCTTGAACATGAACTGCGCACACACACCACCAAGAGAGTAGGAAAGTTAATCATATACATTACTGTACGAACTGGGATACTAGCTCAAAACTGAGAGGTGGGAGTCAGCTGTCCCTCCACCATCTCTGCCTTCACTCCCTGTTGATACTGGCACGCACGATAATAACACTTGAAAAAGCTGAAGGCCTGCTTCGGAGTTCTCAAACAGCTGGCCGGGTTTCTGAATTTCATTCTGCTCTTAAAACAATATCAGCCATGAGTCAGATTTTTTTTCCCCTGTTGTCCCCAGGTCCGTCCAAGGGCAGGCTGAACCGTTTCCCGCATCCCCACCCCCGGCCGGTGGCTCTTTTTCACTCACTCGTGAAACCACCAACGCTCCACATGTTCTTCACTCTGCTCCAGCAGCTGGTTGCAGGCAAAATCCGATTTGGAGCACACGCCCTCCAGCACCTCCAGCAGCCGAGTCTCACTGAGAAGAGGAAGGGGCCTGGGTGAACATCAAAGTCATTCGGACAGAACGAAGCAGCCCCTTCACGAGCTTTGAGAAAATATTTCCCAGAGGTAATATTGCCTCCCCTTAACCTGACATCTTCCCTACCAACCATTCATGATCTACCTGTCACACAGTAGGGCCGGCTCTCTTCTCAGTTAAAGTGAAGAAGTCCACCTCAGCAGGGAGACCTCAGTGAAGTGTTACAGGGCAGATCTGTAGATGTTCTGCAGCTTATTTTGTACCCTCTCCTACCTCACTATCCCCACCCCCCATGTGGTGGAAGGCAGTGTCCTGTAAGCCAGTGGTCCTCAACCTTGGGACTCCAGATGTTCTTGGACTACAACTCCCAGAAGCCTTCACCATCACCTCTGCTGGCCAGGATTTCTGGGAGTTGAAGTCCAAGAACATCTGGACCTGTAAGCCCTCAAAGCTACATCACCTCTGTCGCTTTGGGGGTGTTATTATTAAGTAAGGGCCCAATCAATCTGACGGACAGCAATTTCTGCTCCTTCAATGGAAAAGGATCTCTGCCTCTCCTTTATCATATGATCACCACCACAAATTCTTACAGCTCCTCGCCAAGAATTTACAGAACATTTAGCAAGTTAATTCTAATTCCTTGTTTTCAATAATTAAGGTGAAGTTGCAACTGTACCAGAGTTAGTCACATATTTTGCAGTATAACGGTTTAAGTTACTGCTATAGTTACAGGGGTTGGCTGGACAACACATATTTTGCAGTATAACGGTTTAAGTTACTGCTATAGTTACAGCGGTTGGCTAGACAACTCAGTGATTTAGGGATCTGGCTGCAGAGCTACAACTTGGGAGTTTGATTCCCTACTGTGCCTCCAGGGATAAAAGCCAGTCTCACTTGGGAGTTTGATTCCCTACTGTGCCTCCAGGGAGAAAAGCCAGTCTCTGTAGCTGTAGGCAAGCTGCACAGTCCCAGGATGACCCCAGAAGAAAGGAATGAGCAACTACAGTGGTGCCTCGCTTAGCGATGTTAATCCGTTCCGGAAAAAGCGTTGCTAAGCGATTTCATCGCTAAGCGATTTTTAAAAGCCCATAGAAACGCATCAAAAAGCGATTAATGTGTTCCTATGGGCTTAAAAACTCACCTTAAGCGAAAATCCTCCATAGCGTCGCCATTTTCGGTGCCTCTAAAGCGAGGAATCTGTCCCTGAAAACAGCGGGCAGCCATTTTGTTTTCCCAGTGGCCATTTTGAAACCACCGATCAGCTGTGCGAAAATGGGCGCTTTGCAATGATCGCTTCCCCACGATCATCGCAAAGCAAAAAAACCCCATAGGGACCATCACACAGCAAAAGCAAAAAAAAACCCCATAGGGACCATCATAAAGTGACTGCTTTTGTGATAGCAAAAAGTCCATCGCAAAGCGATTTCGTCACTCAACGGAGCTATAGCTATGCGAGGCACCACTGTATGCGAGGCACCACTGTAGTTCTGAGTACTCCCTACCTATAAAACCCTGAAGAGTTGCTGTAAGTCAGACGTGACTTGACGGCATGCTGTTGTTGCTGTCACAAGGCTGAGTACTCCCTACCTAGAAAACCCTGAAGAGTTGCCGTAAGTCAGACTTGACTTGACGGCATGCTGTTGTTCCTGTCACAAGAGGTAAGTCACTGCTAAGGCACTCCATTCTGCATTAGTGATCCCGGCCCCCACCAAACAAAGTCATCATGCCCGTGTCCATCTTTCTGAATTCTCTTTTAAGATCAGGGTGCCAGCGAGGAGTGGCTCTGCCCCAGCAAGGATGCCAGTCCAGTGCACTCTGCAGTAGCAGCATCTCACCCATGACCTCGCGCAGCCCAGATCTCAGATCACCTGTTTGCATATTTTGCAAGTTTCTCTTCTTCCCAGGCTGTGTTCCCGCCCCCGAAGTTCTCTCGCTGTGTCCGCTCCAGACCCTGGGAAGGCAGGAGAAGGCTCACAGCAAATTCAGTGCTATTTGCCCCTTCCCCAAACCACAACAACCTTCTGCCCGCCCGCCCCACTTACATGCAACGATCTACAAATCCTTAATCTTGTCAACACCTGCTTAGCTAACCCCTGGATCCCCTCCCATCCTGGTGCCTCTCCAGCCCATTCCACTAAACCTTCCTCTGAGACTGGAACCACGGGTGGGACTGGGCAGTACTGGCTCCATACTCAGAGCTCACACGCTCCTGTTTGGCTCAGTCAGGACCATGCCCCCCCCCTTCCCAGCTGAAATCAAACTCCCTTCCAGCCTCTCACCTTGTTGAAATTGTCAGTGAGGCTCCGACAGCTCTGGCACGGCTCTTGCTGGGAACAACTCGGACTTGGGATCCAAAGGAAGAACAAGAGAAAGAACACAAGGAGCGGCGTTTTCTTCCAGGGAAAAGGCATCTTCACGCTGGAAATAAGGCTGGAAGAAAGAGGAGCAGCCACGATGTGAGCAATAGTACTGAGGAGGAGGTCTCTCGGACCCTCGCGTGACCAAGCTTTAAGATCAGCAAGTGCGATCCTCATCTCTGATGCACTCAAAAGGGCTGTTGAACAGTGCGAAAGGACAGGGGCTTTTTTGTGATGGCACCCAACATCTTTGAACCACCCTTTCCTGAGAGGTGCACAGCAGCGCCCTGTAGTGGCTAACCTTTGAAAAGATTTTAAACAACTTTTGCCACCGACCACTGTATATTTGTACTGTAATTTTTAGATCTAAAATATTTTTCTCTGTCTCTTTTTAGTACTAGTTGTTTTATAGGTAGAGAATTGGTCTCTTATGAGTGGTGTTTTATTAGATTATTATTTTTTTACTCCGGCAAACTGGACAGAGCTTGGAAAAATAATTTTTTTAAACTGTAACTCCTGAAATGGTTTATAGATTATAGAAGCTATAGTTCAAAAAACAGCTTTTCCAAGGTCTGTAACTATGTACATGCTTCTGAGTGACCACAAATCACAGCTGGCAAGGCTGGACTGAGCTTCCTGCTCAACTGTCTGTACCAAGGAAAAAGAGCCTGCTCAGCTATTCTTCTCTCCAGCCAGAGACCAGCAGAACAATAACCATGTTCCCAGAGATTCAGGACTGGAGATTCAAATCCTAGGCCTGATCCCAATTCTGGAAACTTTTTTTCCAGGGTTGAAAAGTGGGAAGCTCTGATTAGAATTAAGGACTGAAACAGATTCTTTTCTTGCAGCTGTCAAAGCTAATATCTCATCCCACTGGGTGGTGCCCAAATTGTAATCCAGGCAGGTGCTCTGTAAGAGCACAACAGTAGGCAGACTATAGGTCTGTGGGATCTCCTTTATTGTTGTTGTTGTTGTTCTGACTTCCATACCACCCCATAGCGCTAGAGCACTGTCTGGGCAATTTACAACAGAATTATGCAAACAACGCTTTGCCACCTCACCCATCCCCAGTGTGTTGGGTATACATTTCACCAACCTCGGAAGCATGGAAGGCTGAGTCAGCCTTGATCTGGCTGCCTGAACCTGTTGGGATCAAACTCAGGTTGCGAGCAGAGGCTTGACTACAGTCCTACGGTTTAACCACTGAGCCGCAGAGCTGTTTTGCCATCTTTTGTTTTCTACTAGAAATACGAGTGCAATACAAGCCTGTATAGGAGGCAGGTCCAGCCCAAGTGAGGCACATGTGCCATGTGATCCTCCTCGTGGTGCCCTCAGGTTTCTTGTCATCAGGGTTGTAATAAGACTGAACTGTCCCTACAGTCCATGGGGGAGATATCATGTTTGTTTCAGAGAGCAGAATGTCTTTGGTGGGTCTTGACTGGAGTCAATATAAAACAGGAATTCTAACAGTCACTATGAGTGGATCTCACGACTGCAGATGCTGAACACTGTATCTGGTAGAGTCAGGGGTCTTCTGCTCAGGTCTGAGAGATATCAACATTTCTGTCTAGCATCCTCCTAACCCACATGTTCCCCAAAACCCTTCCAAGACATGGTGTCACAGAAAAGATCACAGAACATTGTGGGACAATTAGAAAAGACAGAAAAGAGAAGTGGGAGAAACACAAGTATTTAAAGATATTTGTTAACTAAGAGTGGCACTTTCACCACTGTTTTAACATCAGATGCCAAGCCACACAACATACCTACACTCCACAGGGTCTTTGGCCTCTTATTTTTTTTTTGTACGAGGTGTAGGCAGAGCTGAGAAGGGTTAAATAACATTATATAATAAAGGAAAATACAGAACCTATATTGTGGCATTCCATGTCTAGTCGCACTGGCCACATGACCACGGAAACTGTCTTCGGACAAACGCTGGCTCTATGGCTTGGAAACGGGGATGAGCACCGCCCCCTAGAGTCGGGCAGGACTGGACTAAATGTCAAGGGGAACCTTCACCTATATTGTGGTGTAAGGAAATGAGGATTCTGCAGGGACATTCTTAAACAATGGGGGGTCAGAAACCTTTGCTGAATTACTGAAAATTGTCCAAGAATCTACCAATAAATCCTGATCTGTCTTGCCTCTTTTGATGTAGCATTTAACTTTGAGGAAGCCATGGCCATACGTATGCAAGACCTGAGCTAGGCTGTTAATAGCAGAACCTTTCTTTTGGAAGTTACTCATTCATAAGGTCACCCTAAGTCAGAAACGACTTGACAGTATACAATGACAACTGATGGTGTTTCAGAGACTGGACATGACAGGCAAACAAGGATCCTTGCCACCTCTCAGAAGGCAAGGGAACCTGGCAGAAAGGCCTTCAGTTATGTTCTTGATGGATGTAAAAGGCAAGGACAGGTGGGGACAAAATATAGCTCTTCATATAGGAAGCTGCTCTGGGGTGGAGAGAAGAGAGAAACATAGAGAACATTCTAGCATTAGTCACAAACAACAGCTTCAGCACTTTTACCTGGCCTCAACACCCGTACCCTTTCCTTCAAAGTATAAGGAATTTTACTGGATTATGGCTTAGCATTATTGTATTTCAAATTTCCATTTTCTAAACACATTAACACAGGTTTCAGAATCATGAAAATAAGAGTCAATAGACATCACAATTTAAAAAAAGTAGACACACAGAAATAATATTCCACCCAACCAGGTGATAGCCAAAAAATAGCACATGTTTGCACCTAATGCTGCTTCTGAAAGATGAGGGAGCTCAACTTGAGCCTCTGTTTTTCTCTTTGACTCAGCAGCACATGGGGATCTATCAACCCACCTGTCACCGGCAACCAGATTTTGCTCCATGTGCCAACAAATCTCATACGGCACATCTCTTATCTGAAAAATATTAATCCCAAATAACTCCTTTGGGTCCCCCACACTTCTGAAGCAGATCTGTTTCAGAAGCTGCTGGGTGGGCAATACCTCTATTAGGACCAGCCAAAAAAATTATTTGGATTTATGGACAAACTTTGGAGACATACAAGACTAAAAGGGAAACCGAGAGTGTGTGGGAACTGAAAGAAGAGGTTAGGTTGTAACCTAGGGAGGAGTAACTAGGGATGTGCCCTGGGGCACCAGCATTTTTAGAGGGTGCTGAAATCTGGGTGTGAGGAAAATAAACGACAATGGTCCCCTGTGGACTTTTCTTTCTTAGGAAGGGTAAACCACCCCTGCCTTTTGAAGGGGCAGGTATTCTTCTCGCTTTTTTTCTTAGTGCGTAAGTGCCCTCTGCCCTGGGTGTCAACCTTTCTAGCTAGGACGTTGTCTAGAGGGGCGGGGTAAAAATCGAATAAATAAAATAAATAAATAAATAAATAGGACTCTGGAGAAAGGATTAAGTTCCTTTGATGGTGAATCTAAACGGTTAGAGTCTTAAGACACAATAAAGGATTAAAAAAAAACAGGAGTGAGTTTGGATAATATACACGATCGGCCCTGCACCCGGCGGCAGGAAGGCTAATATAATCATCCGCGGAGGGAGGGAGAGAAATGCCTTCACGCTAAAGAGCAGGGCTGACTACAAAAATAAACACGGGCAGAAGGGTGCGTCTACTGTATACAGTACCCATTTGCAAGGAGGGCGCATGGAGATCAGGCCGGGCCAAGCTTCGGGGGTCTCGCTTGGCATGGCCACTCAAATCAAAAGCGCAAAGAAGACCCGGCCTGCAGGGCGTCCTGCGGCCGAGAGAGGCGAGCCTGCAAACGCCCCGGGAAAGCCAAGCCCCTTTGCAGCAGCTGCGGCTGCGGCTGCCACTGCCGGCCAGGCGGGCCCTCCCCTTGGCTCCCACCCAGGGAAAAGGACCTGCTTGCCCCGATCCAGCACCTACCTGCCCTCACCCCCCTGGGAGAGCCTGTGGAGGGCCAGCGG